GAGCGTCGGCCCATGGACCAGAGTCCCCGGTTCAGTTCCTGCTAAGGACACGTACTTCGGCTGCAGTTTGTCCCCGGCCCTGGTTGAGGTTGTGTGGGTGGCAACCATTCAATGTGTCTCTCTCACATCGATGTTCTCTCTCTTTTCCTCCCTCTCTCGCTCTATCTGAGGATAAATGCAAATATATATATACAATATATTTTATATATATATTATATTTATATTTAAATTATTTATATTTAAATTTTATATTTATATATACATTATATATAATATAAATTATAATATAATAGACATATATAATGAAATAATGTGATATAAAGAATTTTAATCATACCACATAGCTCAAGGATGATGAATTCCCACCTCCCATCCTTTTCTACTTGAGCCAATGCATATGCTTGACTACCTGGAAGGTGAACCAAAGTGTTTCATCCTCCTCTACATGATGAAACCATTCAGTTGTGCACCTAAGTACTACAGGATTAGAGCCAGAATGAAAAAGCAAGACACGAACTGAGAGAAGATATTTGCAAGGCATACATTTGACCAAAGACTTGTATCCAGAATGAATTAAAAAGTTAAACGGAAAATAGAGTTTTTTAAAATACAGAATAATTTATAATTTTAGGAATTACCAGGGATTCCAATTTCTTATTCCGGAACCCCAAAGATAACTATCCTTTGGGAATTTGGGAACAGCTGCCCACAAACAATTGAAAGAAACAAAAGCAAATCCTCTCTGGAGTGAGATGTCTTCATCTCAGGTCTTAAAATTTTCCAAATACTATGACTAGCACACAGTAAGAGATAGCTAGACACACAGGGAGTCCAGACCACACTAGTGAGAACCAGGTGGCATCAAAAACAGTCTCACTAAGACACAATATATTGGAATTATTACACACAGACTATTCCCTTATAAAATTAAAATAAAGAAAATAAAAAACAAGCTGAAAGCTATCTGCAGCACACAGGAAACTATAAAAGGTAACATATCAGATTTGAAAAAAAATAGAGCTTCTAGTTAATGAATCCTCACAACTTCATAATTCTATAGTCTTAAGAAGGAGCAATATGAAGACTATATTCTATATAAATCTATATGCCATATAGATTTAGGTGTGAACTATTATGAAAATCTGTATATCATGCTATATATAAATTAATTCATTCAATATATGTATTTCCTGTTGATCTAGCTAGATTCATATTTATGTCTTGAAATTAGAAGTGCTTCTTAATAATATTTTCTTTTAATTTCTCAAACTCCTATTAAATGCCTACCATGTGATAAGCATAGTTATGTATTTGCTCATACATTTTCTTATTTAAAGAAAGAGGAGGAAAAGGAGAAGTTGGGGAGGAGAAATAGCTACAATAAAAAATTTCATTTTGGGTCTGGCACAGAACTGGACTATTTTGCTACCCACTAACTGTCTCACCAACATCTCTGCACTGACAGTCCCAGCTTCTAGTAGTCCAAGTTCAAAGTAACAATAGATAAAGGAAATCTTTGAAAGCTCTAGTAGAGCAGGCAACTTCAATTCAATTTCATTCAGTTAAACTAAATTCAATTCCTCAAGTATTTAATGAGCCTACTGCCCGTAACACTATGCCGGGTGTCTGGCAAATGACACAACTAACTGACACGCAGTATCCATCTTCTCAGTAGGCTTAACATTTTCATTGAGAGGCACAGAAACAACTCAAAATAATACCAGTCAGAATTAGATAAATGCTGTACCAAAAGTTCTTTAAATTTTAGGGCTTAAATTTCAAGATTAGAGATTGTACAAGACTGGATTCAAGGGATAAAGCCTGGTGTTTAAACTGATTCATTTCCTCTTCTTTCAAGGGACTAATTTTATTGTTGGAAAGACTTTTTATGAAGACAGAAAAAGTGACTGCAAGGATTAAGCAATTTCATCATATTAATAATTTATATAAAAAAGAAAAGCAATCGCCGTAGCTGGTTTGGCTCAGCGGTTAAAGTGTCGGCCTGCGGTCCGGAGAGACCCGGGTTCAGTTCCCACTAAGGGCATGTACCTTGGTTGCAGTTTGTCCCCGGTCCTGGTTGGGTCGTGTGGGTGGCAACCACTCGATGTGTCTCTTTCACGTCGATGTTTCTCTCTCTCTCTCTCCCACTCTATCTGAACAAAATATCGAAAAATGTCCTTGGGTGAGGATTAAAAAAAAAAAAAGAAAAGCAATCAATCAATATTAATACACCAAATGCAGTATTTGGTGGATTCAAATAAAGAAAAATCTTTCTGATTAAGACCCTACCCACCTACTGTATGTCTTTAACCATATTAATCTTTTAGAATTAAAAAACACATAGTAAGAACACTGACCAAATTATTAAATTAGTCCTGATAAAGAAGATCAGTTGAATAGAAAAGAATACCAATTTCATCACTTAGTACCAGTCAATTAATCCACATATCCAATGAAAAACACTGCAAAGTGTTCTTAAGGATAGACAACATGACATTTCCGTGGAACACTATTAATTCTCAAAAGTATCATTGGGAAATTCCTGCTACGTGGAATGTGGGAGACTTTTGTTCTGCCACTTGTATATCTCATGCAAGAATAGTTTATGAGTATTATCTCAAAACGTGTAGGTATGGAAGGCAATGGAGAATCCTAGGGCTTGCTATGGCTCTGGGGATATAGTGCTGAGCCAAAGTTCCCTTAGAATTCTTTTTCAGGCATTCTGAAATCATCAAGGTATCTGGCCAAAAGTTCAGGTACTCATAAAGGGGGGTGAGGGCTGGGTGGAGGTAGGCAAAGAGCAGGAAAATGGGGACATCTGTAATAGTGTAAACAAACAAACAAAGAATCTATTAAGAGTGCAACAGCATTATGTCTAAAAAAGCAATGTACCTCATTTAATTAAAAGCACTTTTTTGCTGAAAAATGCTAAACATTAAAAAAGAGCACCTCTTTGGGGACATGTTTAAGTACTCATCCTTGTGCTTTACCTTGAGGACAAATGCTGCTGCCCCTGTTTAGTGCAAGTGACCAAGGAGCCCAGTGGCCCAGCCGTTCCCCAATCCATCACATTAACGTGCTCCAGGACCCCTCCTACTTCCACACCTCCGAGTTTGAAGCTCTCTCGGAAAGGTGCCCACGTGCATAGCAGTCCTCTCCTGAGCTTATTTAGATCAAGGTTTCCTCTCTTTCTGTAACATCATCTGCTTTCCATCTTTCAGAAAATTACTGTCTCTGATCTTCCAATAATACTCTTTCTTCTTGGAATTTTTAATTATTTTTTTTTCATTCACTTTTAGAGATCTAAGGGACAAGGAGAGTAGGTATGTGTACTTGGTCTGCCATCTTGATCCAGTCTCTCTGGGCTACCATTCTCCTGCTTTTATCGCATTAGTATCCTGCAATTTCCAGACCCACAGATTACTTTCTATTATTCACTCTGCTGATGACATGCAGGTGCAGAGCTCTTGGGCACACATGCTGAAGGGGCACGAGGTCATGCTCTCCTTGGGTCTTAGACCAACTGCTGTTGTCTCTCTCTTACTCTTCCTATTTTGCAAATGACTTCTCCTGGTAGCCTGGTGAATATAAATGAAGCCTCCAGAGGCTGGTCACCCCCAAATTAAGGAACAGCATTTGAACTTCTGAACGTGCAACGTGGGAAACGGTAAACTGGAGTAAAAACATGGCCTCATATCTTTGCTCCCTGGGCAAGTGACTTAAACCCCTAACTTTTAGTTTCTCCATCTATAAAGTAGCCATATGAATTATCAAAGTACCTTTCAGGGTGGCTGTGAAGATTCTTTGTGTAAGTAAATATAACACATGCTTATTAATAAGTCAATAAATGTTAGTTATTATTGAAATCTAGTTCCTAGATCACAAAGATTCAAGATGCAGTCTTCTCATGAGTCTTAGCCTAGACTTCTTCAGTCCTTTAGTAGACCAGCTTAAAGAAAGCTATATTGCCTGGCCAGTGTGGCTCAGTGGTTGAGTGTTGACCCATGCACCAGGAGGTCACTGGTTTGATTCCTAGTTAGGGCACATGTGGGGTGTGCAGGAGGCATCCGATTGATGTTTCTCTCTCTCTCTCTCCTCTCTCTCTCTCCCCTCACCTCTAAAAATCAATTTTTTTTTTTTTTTTTTTATCCTCACCCGAGGATATTTTTTCTTTTTTTGTACAGATAGAGTGGGAGGGAGAGAGAGGAAGGGAGAGAGAGAGAAACATCGACGTGAAGGGACACATCGAGTGGCTGCCACCCGCACGACCAACCAGGGCCGGGGACAAACTGCAACCGAAGTACGTGCCCTTAGCGGGAACCGAACCCGGGTCTCTCCGGACCACAGGCCGACGCTCTAACCGCTGAGCCAAACTGGCCAGGGCCTAAAAATCAATTTAAAAAAACATTTTAAAAATAGCTATATTTGGAGACTTCCCATTTGATAACTGCTATGGATGTCATAGCAGTATAGGAGGTATAAATGTCACTGAGGTATCAGCTTCTTTACCTGAGCTGCAAAGTCAGGAGGCCAGTGTAAGACACATGGAGACAGAGCAATCTAATTGTGGTGATAGAAGAAATTAGAAAATGAAAAAGCAAATCATTCTTTAACTGTCAATCAAACATGGTAAGATATTCCTAATAAAACATGGGTAGGCTGCTACTTGCACTTACGAGTATCAAGAAATGAGTATAGCCCTGGCCGGTTTGGCTCAGCGGTTACAGCACCGGCCTGCGGTCCAGAGAGACCCAGGTTCGGTTCCTGCTAAGGGCACGTACCTCGGTTGCGGTTTGTCCCCCAGCCCTGGTTGGTCATGCGGGTGGCAGCCACTCAATGTGTCCTTTTCACATCGATGTTTCTCTCTCTCTCTCTCTTCCTCTCTCTCCCTCCCACTCTATCTGAACAAAAAATGGAAAAATGTCCTCTGATGAGGATTAAAAAAAAAAATTTTTTAAAAAGAAAAAGAAATTAGTATATATCGTTTCCTCATAACTTACCTCTAAGTTGCTGGACTTCCATATTCAAAGTTTCGATGTGTCTCTCGTAGAATTCAAGATTCTCAAGGGTCTCTGCCCTTAAGGACTCCTCTTGCTTCTCCAGCATTAAGTTTAGCTCTTCTTGAGCCCTGCTGTACATATCCAAGTCATGTTCTATTTCCCGAATTCTCGCCAGTACTAATGGACAATGGGAAGTTTGGCCCAAAGTCTTTTCCGTACTCTCAGGGGCCTCCTTTTCCAGGGGCTCACAGCTGGGCCGGCTGTAGGTTAGCTTGGGTGGCACCGCGTTCGGTCTCTGCTGTGATGGGGGCGGCAGGGGAGCTGGGCGCGAGGGCCGCACCGCCAAGGGCGGCTCAGGTTTCAGGTTCTGGTCCACCAGCAAATGGGGAGAAGTGGGGACTGGAGTACAGGGACGGGGTGGCGGTGGCCTTAGGGCCTTTCTCCTCTCAGGCAGCTCCTGCTGGCTGATTGGCTTTGAGAAACCACGGACAATGTCCTTCTCCGAGCTAAAGTCAAGGATTGAAAAATGCCGCAGCATTTTATCTGGTTCTGTGCCGGACCCTGACAAGCTCTTCTCAAACTCTATCAGCTGTTGTGTCAACTTCGAATCCAGGTCAATGTGGCCGTCTCCCTGTGGAGGGGCCAACGCCTCCATGGCTGGCGCCTTGTCCGGCAGACCAGGCTTCGTCTCTGAACAGAAGTGGGAGGCACTGTTCTCTTGGGGTGGGTGGTGCTTTCTGGTATGCCTTGCTGTGCCCTGGGGCGGAGGGCTGGGCTGGCGAGGTCTGACCGCCCGCGGAGCTGAGGGAGAAGAGCTGCTGCGCGCAGGAGAGGCTCGCTTCGGAAGGGTTTTCGGCTGGGAGCATGTTTTTCTGGAAGGCAGGCTGGAATAGTCTCTAGTCCTTGCTTCTAGAGGAAAAGGGTCAGAGAACTGCTCTGAGCTTGGGTGGCTCCCTCCTGCTCTGGAATAATACTGTTTTTTCTGCAGTTGGGAGGAAACACCATTGACCACCTCTGAAGGATCCTGCGTGGAGTCTTTGGCGAGAGGCTGTTCGAGCCCTGCGCCTGCGGCTGCGCCTCTCAGCGGCCCCCTGGAGGGGTCTTTCTCCCAGGGAGAGATTTTGTTTACTTCACAGTCAGAGGTCAGATGATCCAGGGGAGAAGCATATGTTTCAGAAATAACACAGTTGGATGTCTCTGCTTCACACTCATGAGATTCATGTCCTTTCCCCTCCAGTACCCAGGAGTTTTCTGAGCAATCCACAGACTTCTCAGGTACCCTGGCAAGGCCGCTTTCCTGTGGCAGGTCCCCGGCCTCCTCCACCTTTGTTTTAGGACATAACTTTACAAACCGGTGAGGAAAGATGCCTGTCCTGCCCTTCAGTGATCCTTCCAGCCAGCCGTCTTCCAGGGTCCCCAGAATTCGGATCTTATCGCCTACCTCAAAATCCAATTCATTCGGCTCCAGGGCCTGGAATCTGTACAGGGCAATTCCATAGGCCCCTGGCTGCTCGTCCTCCTCTTCCGGCCCTCTCTCTTCTCCTGCAGGGGCACCTGCTTCCCCATTTATAATGCAGTCACCGTGATTTCCAGAACTTACCGACTCATCCACAGTCCTCAGGGGCCCCAAAAGCTCTACAAAACCTTCTGGGAAAATGCCTCTTCGACCCTCTAGTTCCCCTTCAAACCAGCCTGGCTCAGGAACGCCAATAATGGTAATCACATCCCCTTCTCGGAAGTCCAGCTCCTCATCCAGCTGGGCAGAGAGCCCCATCAGTGCCCGGGCCTGGCCCATGGAGTAGGCGGGGATCTGCAGCAGGGCGCTCTGTGAGTGCCACCGCCGGCTCCGCGAGGACAGGCACAGCTCCCGCACGCACGAGGATGGGAAGAAGCCGCGGGCACCCCAGCAGCTTCGGCCCTGCAGCCAGCCGGCCGTGGGAGCGCCATCGAGAATCACTAGGTCAC